TGATGTTGCTGTCTTTGATGATGATGATGATGATGATGATGCTCAAGTGACCTGAAAAACCATTGGCCCACAGGTGCACCACGTGGGATGAACAGCACAGAGTGGTGAACCAAGACATCCGCCAAAGTCCAACATTGGCGGTCCAATTGAGCGAGAGTTTCAGTCCCATTTTTGTTTTTACTTATTGTCCGTTGTCCATCCGACCACGGTGTCTCAGTTCTTCAGGGGATTTTCGACTGTACACTCAATGACAGCTCAATGATATGGTTAGAGGCACACTGTTTTCTTTATTCGGGGTTCCTTGCTGAAGGTTTTTTTTTCACATTTCGGTTTAGTTTATGGGGTGCTTATAAGCTAAACAACCTAAGTTTCTCTTTTACGTTATACAAGTGGCAGGTACCTTATGCAGGTACTAACTGAAATGGATTAACACCCGTTCCTAAATTGATCTATCACGTTGATTTCATCTGATTGACGCCATTCACGATGGGTACTATCAAAAACGGTTCGGGCCAAAGTGGATGTGCATCAACTTGATTCTCCTGCTGCAGGTGTAAACATTAGGATGAACGGGGGGGCAGTCCTAATACCGCCAGTGTGCCCAACTGGTGGCCTGTAATTGCCAGCTCAAATGGATAGAAGTGAATACCTGGGTCTCTTAGAGAATAAAGAGGGAGAGTGCCCACATATATAATAAAGATATACTATATATAATACATATAATACAGCGTACATGAAGTGAATATGAAATAGCGAAGAAAAAACACTTCTCAACCTGAAAACCAAACCGAAGGCTCTCCGTGGAAAATCACTCAACGCCTACTTCGGTCAGGGCAGTTGACACAAGGAAACAGTTGGAACTCACAACGTACGCAGAAAGTGGTCCATTTTTCTGCACAACACATTAGACGCTTCGCCGACGAAACGCTGGTGACCAGACCAATCCACCGGGACCAGTATGAATTCAGCCACAACTGCTACAGATCCAGTTTATCCAGTCTCCAGGTTCAACAGCTCGGGTGATAATTTTGCTTCTGAAGTTGGCGTGGCGATCTTTGAATTTATGAACGCGCTTCGTTTCTGTCCACTTCCCACGAGATCGGCGTCAAAAGCTTCTAGACTTTCAATCAAATTACCGACACACTGAGGCTTTTTTCTTCCAGGGTACTACTTATATGCAGACTGTCAGAGGAAAAGCGTCAAATGGTTCAATATCCCAAAGATGAACAGGGCGAAGGGCGAAACCGGTCGTGGGTTGTCGAAGAGTTTTCAGCAACCTTGTGAGTAGTTCCTCTTATGAAAATGAACAGGGATACTTTGCTCACTGTAGGTTAAGCAAATTCTTAGAGTGTATAGGACAGTATAGAATAGATTAACGTTCATTTGGAAAGTGTCAATGGGCGCGAATTTCGAGTTGCCGCGCAGCATTTTCAGGTGCACCGGGATGATACCGCTGACCAACGATAAACCACGTACAACTAGATGGCTTACATCTTCAAGGTCAACTCATGCAATGAGTTTCTTTTCCTAAAGATATTTTCTTCATTTTTTTGGATAAAGAAAAGCCTTGACTTGACATAAAAATTGCACATTTGGAATCGAACCGTTGGATTCTGGCCTCTTCATGCCTACAGTAATGTAGTGTAAGCTGTTGGACGTGAGTGTTTTCTCGTGTTTTATTTATCGGTCTCCACAAAGTGCCTGGAATCACACCATCTACTCCACTCCCGAATACAGCAGCCTTTCGGCTTATACAGGCCATCGTGTATTCACTGACACAATGCGGATCAATTTGGCCACTCGTGTTGGTGATAAGGATATTGCGAGTTTGTTCACAGGCAAGGACAAGTACTGGAGTCTAAAAGATGCCAGCGCGCTTATACGCTTATACAAACGATATACGATGATAATCTTTCAGGTCATTTAGTGTAAAGCATTAGGTGGGCCATGACTGATGATAATGTTAGCGAATATACACTCAGTTGGAAAGTAATTTGGTTTTTCGAGAGACTCATCTGGAACCCAGCTGAATCTCTCGTTTATGATGTTCTCAGGCAACTGAATGTGCTGCACCAGGCCGCCTCATGTTTCAGTCACTACGATATTCGAGATATCAAAAACGAGAGATTCAGCTGCGTTTCAGGTGAGTCTCTCGCAAAGCCAAATTAGTTTGCAGATGAGTGTAGTTCGCTAATTTCGTGCAATTTGTGTTCAAGTAGAACATAAGGTTGACGGAAAATCGGGGACCACGCCTCCCTGATGAGCCCCAAGAAGGGCAAAACCGGTCGTGGGCTGTTGATGGATTTTCAGCAACCTTTTGAGTAGTACATTACAATGATTATAATGTTGTTTCCGTCATTCTATTTCAGCGTAACGAACTGTTCCGACGTTCAGACAAAATCTTGCTGAGTTCAGTAGTGGTTTTTGAGAAATTCCATTTCACCGGTTTCTTTCTACACGAGGTTATGGAGCCAAACAGGATGTTTTTTAATGCTAGCCTTTTCGGCATGGCAATCCTGTATCGGCGGGGATATCCTTTTTGTGAATGAGGAGAGTGGTCCTTGATGAAGGCTTGGGGTTGCTTGTTCCATTGTTCACTGGAATGCTGTCAAAGTGAAGCTATCAGTATCTGCGACTGGCGATTCCGCTTATCATAAAGTCGTCGGCAGATTTGGCTTCCGGCGACAAGTACATGTTAAAAGTTCCAATTGGTAGAGATGTTTTGGACACCCTCGACCTGTGGATGAAGATAACTCTCCGAAATCGGAGAACGTGGATACGGCAAACATCTCCGTTGAGATTTTAGTGTATCTGTAATGTATCTCCATTAACCCCGTCAAAACCCCTTATCCTTCGAGTTGCATTACTAAACAAACAATATGTAAAAAAGGACAATATAACTACTGAATTACCTTAACTGACGTTCGCTTAACATTTGGTTTAATCACGTTCTGCACTTTTGTTGTCGAGAATGAACAGTGACGGACAGAACCTTCGGTCCAACTGACCGTTATCGTTGAAATCCGTTGTTGTCCCTCGTTCATTTCGTTTTTACAACAGTTAGGTTATCAGGTCAGTGTACTTCTTTCATTGTTAGCCTGTAATCTCCACTAAGGAGGTGGGCACAATTTGTTACACCGTCAA